TAGTATGCACACATTCACATGGATTGCAAATGCTAAGGTGAATTTTATAGAGTTAGTGAAAGTGGTGTCACGACACATTCATTGTGGCAGCAAACATCACATGTTTTGGATGGAATCAAAGTGGGAGCCGCCCACCTAGGTATTGGAGAATTTCTCTTTGGCTTAGGAGAATGTAGTAGCCGTGAAGCATAATAAGGGGGTGGAATAGGCCCCACGTGGAAAGGGAGCATCTAGCATTGTGGGTTACGTGTCTTTGGTTGCCACTTCCACCTAAGGAGAAAAAGTAATTTGGCAACACCTTCAGTGAAAAGGGGATGCGCTGTCCAGCACGACCCACACTTGGAAGTAGCACATCATGGACTCACGACCTTGGCCCAACACCCGTCCACGCACACGGGAGGACCAGCACTGTGAAGACGTGGTGTGGAAGAAAAAAAAATCATTCACGGTCCAGAAAAAAAGAGAGAAGCGGAGGCTCTCGGTTAGAAAAAAGGGGGTTTTGTCCATGCACAGGGAGAGCGTCAGCCGCCACCCTTTCTTTTCTGCTTTTCACCTTTGAACTTTGTGGGTGGTCCAGCTCCATGAAGGATTTTCATTTTGGCAAAAAGGGGGGCACAGTTTTTTTTACTTAGAGTCTGCACCGAAATCACTTGGTTGATTATTGATATTGGAATACTACACTATGCTTTTTATTTATTATCTTCATTGCTTCTTGCATTTCTATACGATGCATTTATTACATTCAAGGGTTGATGCGTACTGTGGATTATGTATTTAATTAGTTTAGGCATGGTTCCAAGGCTAACATAGACAGTTCGGTCTTAGAAGCTAGCTCTTTAATGTGTTTTTAGTCACTAATTTGTTATGTTTTATTTCATTTTATTAGCTCATCCATTTTTCAAGTCCAATTTAATTAACTGGTTGGTGTGCGGTTTAGAATTGTTCGGTTTAATGTTTCCATTTACTTTAAGGTTTCCAAGTATATTCGGTTGTGTTTAATTCTCAATTTTAATTTCGTTATTTGCATTCACAAAACTTTCAAAACCCCCCACTTAGCGTTGACCTGAGACTGAACCACAAATTGGTCCTTGAGAGACGACCTAGGAGTCACTTCCTAGTCTATACTGCATTCTTTTATGCACAACTTTTGTTGGGAGGTGCGACCCTCACATCAGCGGGCATGACCCTCACCTTGGTGACTACTGTGACCGACATGATCTGTGTCTTCTTCCGAGTCCGGCTTCGTTTCCGGAATTTCCACGATAGGTGGTGTTGCAGCACGTGCGGAAGATTGTTGATTAGCTTGCGCCCCTCTAGCCGCATCATGCTCGCCTCTAAGGGTTTCAATTTTCGCCTACATTGCCTCTATTCTTCTTCTCATCTCCTGCATAAACGTTGTCGGGTCCTGTTCCATCCTTATGGCTTCAATAGGGTGTCTTTAAAAATCCTCGGCCCCACGGTGGGTGCCAAAATGTTTCTGCTGGAATGGGACGAGGAAAACTCCTGTTGCTTCTGCTCGGGAATGCTTCGCCTCCACCGATTGGTCCTCCGTCCTCCTGTCTTACCGCTTGGATCTTCCTTTCTCAATATCAAGATGGGGGTGACCTGCAAGAAACACTCTGACGCTCAAGTCAGAATTTATCTCCGCAAGTCTATAAAAATAAGAAAATTAGGGTCTTTACCTTCCTAATAAATTATTATTTATAGGGTTTCAAGGAATATAACCCATTAATTTACCTCTTAATGAGAATCAGTGCAAACCTTAACCGCTCCATGATAACCGTTACATCATTAATTATGCGTTTAATGACATTCAAAGGTTTGTCTCTAGCAAACGACTGCAGAAAGTTCACAAGTATTACTCTACTGGCCGATCGGGAATGAGTGGTAACAATTGCTATTCTGAAATTTTACTGTATGGTTTATTTAATGTATAGACAGAGATAGATTTCTCGCAGCTCATTCTTTTTGCAGGAATATCTTACCTGCAAACAATGTTTTACCTGCATGTTTAGGCAATAAAGTAAACTCCCCACCTGTTACCCAAAAGCTAGATCAGTCAGCAACTATACCTAACAGCTTCACTGAGCAGTCCAACATACTNTAAGAAAATTAGGGTCTTTACCTTCCTAATAAATTATTATTTATAGGGTTTCAAGGAATATAACCCATTAATTTACCTCTTAATGAGAATCAGTGCAAACCTTAACCGCTCCATGATAACCGTTACATCATTAATTATGCGTTTAATGACATTCAAAGGTTTGTCTCTAGCAAACGACTGCAGAAAGTTCACAAGTATTACTCTACTGGCCGATCGGGAATGAGTGGTAACAATTGCTATTCTGAAATTTTACTGTATGGTTTATTTAATGTATAGACAGAGATAGATTTCTCGCAGCTCATTCTTTTTGCAGGAATATCTTACCTGCAAACAATGTTTTACCTGCATGTTTAGGCAATAAAGTAAACTCCCCACCTGTTACCCAAAAGCTAGATCAGTCAGCAACTATACCTAACAGCTTCACTGAGCAGTCCAACATACTTGAAACTTGTCTTGAGCAAGATGAAAACTCCTTATCAGATGATATAACTAATAGTTACAGTTTGAGCCGTGATGATATTTTTGAGAAAAATATGCATAATGGAGTATCTGATGCTATCAATTTTATGGAGACAAACATTCTGATTGCCTTTAATGCTACCTTCGTCGATGATAAAATAAACTTCCTTCCGCTTGTCAGAAAAATAAATCAGTCAACTCCTGTGCCTAACAACTTAACAGGGCAACCTGATAAGCTTGATGTTTGTCCTGAGCAAGGTAAAATCTCCCATTCACAGAAACAAAATGAAGAATTTTTGGAGAAAAATATACACAGTGGAACTACCAAAGCTTTCAATTCTATGGAGATGGACATTTCGACAAATGCCACAAAGTTGAAACAAAGAAGTTCTACTGATTCAAATGTTGGTCTCGTCCTGTTTGAAACAAAAGCATTTGATTCAGAATCAAACTTAAGCATCTCAAGCAGTATATTGAATCCTCTAAAATCACATGAAAATTGTATAGTAGAATAGTGAACCGAGCAGATATCAACAAATACTCAAACGATCGCTATGCTTAACGATCGGTTTGGAAATTATCACAACCACTCATAAGTGAACGATCAAGTAAAACCAACTCAATTCGCGAACGATCGTCAACCACCTAGACCAAACGATCGCCATATCACCAGATATAATATTAACGACACGATCAGTTACATCATACGCTCGTTAATGTAACCTTTATCAGTGATCATCCACCAACTAAACATAACGACCAGCAAGGGTCAAATACAGGACAATGCCAGGTCGACCCGGTCAAATTACAGTCAACAGACGATCGATTATGTTCATTCAAGCTGGATCAGTTAATCCAAATAAACCAAGGAACAAGCAGTCAAAAATATCTAACCATGATATCGCAAGTTACGGAACTAACTAACCAAGTAGCAAAGACGAGGATCACGATCAAGTGACTGGATTATCCAACTAATCGGATTTTTAGGTAAATGGTTTATCTTACTTCTAGGTTAAATACGAAAAACCAAAGGAAAATAGGTACGTTTTGGATGATTAGGAAGAAAGGGAAAACATTGATATTATTACTGAACCAGTAAGATTCCATCATTCTTTTTTTGCTGACTTGAGCGTCGGAGTGCTTTCGCAGGTACTCACCCCACTCTCCTCGAAAAGCCTTGTGCAAGAGGAAGATATAAGGATAACTGCATTGCGAGAAGATTAGGACGTCGTTCATTAGGTTTTCATCTCGATCCCAACAAATTATACTGAAACATTTTGGTGCCTACCGTGGGGCCGAGACTTGATATACCCAGAAAAGACCACAAGATCCATGGAAGAGAACAACACCCGAGACTTGATCAAGCAGCTGCAGGAACAGATAGAAGCGCAGGCGAAAACCATACGAGAGCTGCAAGAAGTTCAACGCAAACAAACAGAGGAACTAGCGGCGTTGAGAGCGCAACGACCTCCGCCGGAGATATCGGCCTCAAACAAGCAGGACGATAATGAAGGAAGCCACCATGGAGGAATATCCGAACCTGGCAGAGGAAGGAAGGGACCCACTTCTCTGCGGCTTACCAACCTGCTTTCGTTTACGGAAGCCATCATGCAAGCTAATATGCCAGAGAAACCCCCTCCAACATTAGAAAGATATGATGGCTCAGCAGACCTAGACAACCATCTACGAAACTTTATTGACGCCATGGCATTCTACACAGACAATGATCCAGTCATTTGCCGAGCTTTCTCGTTATCCCTGAAAGACGAAGCACCGGAGTGGTATCACACCCTTCCTCCTAATTCAGTGGATTGTTTTTCTACCGTATAAACTCTTTTTGGAAGACAATATGCTGCCAACAGACGACAGGAGATGACACCAGCTGAGCTCGTGAATACTAAACAAGAGAAAGACGAAACCCTGAGAGCATTTATGCAGAGATACAACGAAGCGGCCAGACGCATAAAAGACGTGAATCACACATTCATAATAAACAATTTGCCTTCGTGTTTAAGGCCAGGGTATTTCGCTGAACAATTGTATGCCGATCCTCCAAAATCAATGGAAGAACTCCAAGAAACGATCGCGAAGTTCGTACGCATCGAGGACCTCAGAATTTCCAGAAAAAGGCAACAATAAAATCCTAACAACGGTACCAGGAAAGAAACGAAGCGATCATCCAATGACTATAAAGGTGACAAGCCCCCTCGAAAAGAATCGGGGTGGATACCCAAGTATGATCGTTATACTGCTCTTAATGCACCCAGGGCAAAGGTACTTGAAGAGGCTCTACACGCAGAACTCCTCACCGTGTAGAGAAAATCTTCTCCGAAGAATGCTGATGAAAGTAAAGCCTGCCGTCTTCACCTAAACCGTGGTCATGACACCGAAGAGTGCAACATAGTAAAAGATGAGATAGAAAGACTCATCCGTGCAGGGTACCTCCAAAAATACGTAAAGGAGGAAACGTCCAAAGCACCGATCCCTATGCGGAAGGAAATGTCGTGGAGAAGTCCCGAATGACCGTTCCGCAGAGATGATAGACAAAGACGACGTTCCAGGAGCCGTTCTCGGAACCCAGAACGAGAGAGGTCAGTCCGAGGACGAATTGACACCATATCCAGAGGCTTCGCAGGAGGAGGAGCATCGACGTCTGCCTGGAAAAGACATTTGAGAAATTTAAACACGGTACACATGGTAGACCGACAACGTCGATCTATTCCCAACATTACGTTTATGGATGCAGATTTCCATGCTCTTGATCCTGATCATGATGATCCCATGGTCATCATCGCCGATATAGCCCGATACGAGGTCAAAAAAGTGCTCATCGATGAAGGCAGTTCAGTCAATATCTTATACTGGAATACGTTCCTAAAAATGGATATGTCCGAGGATCTGATAGCCCCTTTCAACGAGCAGATTGTAGGCTTCCCAGGAGAAAGAGTAGACACTCGAGGATACCTTGACCTAAGGACTCGACTTGGAATGGGCAGAGATGCAAGAGAGCTAAGAGTTAGTTTCCTACTAGTAGAGGAAAATACTTCGTATAACGTCCTACTAGGACGACCTTGCTTGAACGCGTTTTTTATTACTTTTTAAGTTTTTTTAATAATACTTGATTCTCATTCTCATGGGTTTTTTTTATGTTTATGAAAAAAAAAAATACATAAATTTATTATTTTTGTTCTTAATTTTCATATCTTTCATTTTCGAAGATAATTAATTTTCTTGTCTTATTTGATAGTAAAATATACTTTAATAATTAACATTTATTTTCATCTCATAAGTTTTCTAAATATTTATTTATTATGAAATAAGAAAAAATTTATATATAATTTTTTTTATAATTCATTTTTAATTGTATCTTGATTATCATATATTTATTTAATAATTATATTCACTCAATTTTTGATTACATTGTGATAAATAAATTTAGTCTTAAACTTTATTTTAAAAATTAAGCATATGAAACCCAAAATAAAAGATCTATTGGAACATGAATACATTAAGTTCAGATAATGAAAAATTAAAAAACATCATACAGTTTTAAAAATAATTAAATTCAGTTAAATGAACTCAAGAAGAAGAAAACCTCAATTTTGAAACACATTGTTCAGCACCCAAAAAGATATGATTAATTCAGGCCAAAATGTTCATAAACACCAAGTTGCACCAAACAAGTCAAGGGAAATCAGTTTGTGAAACCTTCTTGGGCAATTCATCTAATCCATATATCAAAATAATATACTGGTGCAAATTAATATTAAGTAACAAAGATAATGGCATGTTAGCAATAAATGCTTTTGGGCCATTGATTGAAGAGTCAACATTGTTAAGTTAAGTTTCTTAAGGTTAAGCTTAGGCTAAACTCACTTTCTAAGACACTACAACTACGACTGTGAAGTCTTCAAAGGGTAATATGTATATAGTATTATCTCCATGATTGGAATAAAGGAAAAATATTATACTCTTAATCTCTGCTCAAGTAGTATCTGATTATATTTATCAAGCCTATTCTCTATGATCTTAGTAACACTTGGTCTTATACCAAGTGTTCGTTCTAAGCAAGTGTTTGGATCTTACACCATGCACTCGTTCTCACTCCTTAAGCTAAACTTCATAATAAGAGCGTTCGTTCAATCCCAATAGGGTTCGCTCACTATAGTGTTCAGTCTTAGACTGGCCTTCAGATGGTGATTGGTGTTTAGCTACTCCAAAGGCTAAATATAATTATTAACATTCGGTTTCATTATGTAAATTCTTATAAGTATTATTCGTTGAAGTGTCTGTATTCATTGTTTCCGGTCTAGAGCCTTAGCATTGGGTATGTTCTTTGAGGTGTTTGGTTTGTGCTCACGAGAGTCATTTCATTTAATTGACTCATTTTGTAAGTAGCGTTCGTTTTAGTCGTGTCTGTTATATATTAACGTTTGTTCTAGTCGTTCCTGTTTTATATGATTATACTCAGTTTCTTTCTCAAACCGATAGTAATCCCCTTGGTCTTATTCTATTTTGGAATGGGAGATTTCTCTGTCTCGTTCCTAGTGTTCGTCCTCGTTCTGAGTGAGGATTGAACGTTCGGTATCTGATGTCATTAATATTATAGACGTCCGGGCCCTAGAGTACCGGACGTCTAATAGTATTAATACTAAAATGCGAACCCGCGAGTAGTTGCGCTCACTGTTCATCGTCTTCCCCGCGAACGCTGTCTACGCCATTGCTTTTCCAGGTGCGTTTTCTCTCTTTTGGACCGTTTAAATTTACTTTCGACCGATTACATTGCCCTGTGATGAAATATCTTTGATTTGAACCGATTAAAAATCGTTTTCGGTGCGTTTTGGTGCAGTCTCTTGCGTGTTCTTGGGCGGCTTCTTTGATTGTTTTTGGGCTACGTTTTAGGTCGTTCCCTCCTCGATTTCCCTCCCTTTCATTTGGAATCTACTTTTCAGGTTAGCTTGTTCGTTGATAAATTTTTGTATGCATGAAATTGGGTTTTGTGTATGCATGTTTTTTACTCTAAGGTATGCATGTGTTATTGGCTTTTGAATATGCATGTATTAGTTGTGTTATTATAAGTATCAAATCATTGAGAGACACTTAGTTCCAGTTTGAAATTTAACACAAACGATTATTCTTTTAATCATTTGTGTTAAATTTTGAATTGTCCAATTGGACAGTTTGAGAAAACTAATTTTCATAATTTGCAATAACATGCCAATTGAAGTTTATGGATAAGATTGATAAAATTTCGGTTCAGTATTTCTGTTGTTCTCCGGATGCATATTTGATTGTGGTCATCGTTGACTACTCTCATTTCGTGTATTTCGGAGACCAATGCGAAATGCTACCGAAATCTTATCAATTTTATGATGTAGACTTCAATGCACGTGTCTGAGCAAATTATGAAAATTAATTTTTTTGAATGGTTAGGGCCTAACCTTGTGAGAGTTAAAAAACTTCAACTGATGTAAAGGTTGTAAGTCATTTATAGTTCTAATTCATTTTCTATGTT